ACAGCCTGTTGGCAAATTTCGGGGGCGTCTTGGTTAACGACGCGAATTACGGGAGTCGCCATCTTCCGTTTAAAGTAATATAATATATACGACACTACTATATACTTTTGTGCAATGCAAGTTAAAACGTGGACAATGCGGGTAGCGAAAACAGACTGTCGAAGAAGTGGTTCTGATGCTGCGTTTAGATGTTCTTTTGATTCACTTCGATTCGCTTGCTCAGTTCATATTTGCATACGCGTTGTCGGCGACCGTAGACTCTCAGCCAATCAGAGCGTTTAACTGTCCACAGTCAGCAAGCGACTGTAGACTCTCAGCCAATCAGAATGCTTAACGGTCTACAGTCTCCGTAGACTTTTGCACTACCATAGACTCAACTTCAGAATTGGGGGGGTGCGCCGTACGGTAGTGCAATTTGTAAACGATGCGATTGGTCCAGAGTCTACAGACGATGACATGTGCGGTTGGGCGTGTGGGTCTCTAGGATGCTTAGAATAATCATCGCCTTGGTTTCTGGTTATTGATTCTTCCTGGCATTTCTACCTTCATAGTATGCTGTGCAATTCACTACCGAATGTATGATAAATTGTATTATGTAAACAGTTGTTCAAACGTGTTTAGACGCCGTTTGATGTTTCTTTCAATTTTTCTTTTGTGGCATTTACCTTGGTTTTAGTGATGCACTTACCTTATCCTGTCTACTGTCCATGACTTTTCTCCATTGTCAGGTTTTGATTTATGTACAATACAATATATGTAATATGTCATTTGACATTCACTATTGTCATTATTGTTCCTTTTGTTTGCTTGCCATGACAAATTCTATGTAATTCATGCAGTGTCTGTTGATAATAGTTCAGCTTTAATTGACATGTGCTATTCCTGTCACTTGTGACTATTTGCTTTGTGTTTTCAACAGAGAATTATGAGGCAGCGATGTGGGGAAACCAAAGGACTACCAGGAATACGCAGGATTATGTCTTCAAGGGTGAAGAACACTTTCATCCATGGCTTCCAAGAAACTGTTGTGTGATTTGGCAACGTTGTCAAAAGTGCTGGGATGAATAAAGTGCTGTCTAATACACAGTAACTCTGATGTCGTTATTAAAGGATAAAGCATGCTTTATTGTCATTCCAAAACTACTCGGGTCCAGTATAGGTAGCAATGACAATAGAAATCAAATCCAAAACAAAATACAATGAATAAAATACAGTAAAAATAAAATATTCAGATGAATAATAACATCAGAAGAGTATACCTATGAATATAAAGTGGACAGTGCAAGTTCAGAAAAAGCAGCAACATGTGGGTGCAAATTGAGTCATAGTGCAGCACTGAAGCTAAAAAACTACCCTTGATTGATCTTCACATTGATAGCTTTGTTGTACCATGGATGAGAATTCACAAAGTGCAGAGGTTAATAATTGCAGCGATGCTCTGACGTGTAACACTGATGATTTACAGCAGCGTTGTACCATGCACCAATAAAATCACAGTAAAAGTGCAACGCTGAAGTTAATTACCCTTGATTGATCATCACATTGATGATAGCTTTGTTGTACGATGGATGAGAATTCACAAAGTGCAGAGGTTAATAATTGCTAATTGGCGATATCCAAAGGGAGAAAGTTGAGAAGCTACACCTCATTTCTGCAAGTTATCTACAATAGAGGTAAAGTGTTCATAGCTAGCTTACACTCTATTGCTCAGACCTTCAGATGGAGACATTTTTACCAGGCAGAAACTTTTCTTTTGTACTTTTTGTGTCCCTGGGTTGATTGGCCGCAGAGTGTACAAACGGGGAGATTCTGTATCCGCGACAGTTTGTCTCCAACACCTGAGGGGGCTTCCTTCAGTTTACGCTTGTACTGCGTAGCTCTCGCCCAGGCTGAAGGACTGCCAGTGCTGTGGCATGTGCTTACAGTCACAGGAGCTGACTCACTGGCGAGCATTGTGGGCTGTGTGGAGGGGCCAGCAATCACAGGGGCTGCTGTAGATGCAGAGAGGGAGGTCACAGGTCTGGGGATGGTAGAAGTGGGTGGGGTTTTTCTCCGTGGTGCTGACAGTGGTGGTTGTGGCCGGGAGAGTGGCATCACCATATCTGTCCTTCCCTTTAACACCTTTGTGCCTGCCGTGCTGGGTGTGGGCACATATTCCATTAGGGTGTAGTCTGGTGGAGGGAGGACCGCTGGCTGGTGTGGTGCCGGAGGTGGGTCAGCGGATGAGATGGAGCTGGTCTTTGTGATGGTTAAAGGCTGTTTCGTTGCATGCATGTTGAGGAGCCTCTCTTGGCGACGAATGAAGTCCCGCACGGTCTTTGTGTTAATCTTTGGCAGAGGAATGCCAGCTTTGCCCAAAACTAGATCCTCCACCAAAATCCGGTGCTGGATTGGCGCGTACGCCTT